AGGTGGCGAGGCACAGACGGAGGTCTCGCCGGACCGATGGGATGCCTCCGTCTACTACGCGCCCGACGAGGGCGCCGCCTCGCGTGGCCAGACCAGCACCAAGCACGCGGCCTTCCTCCACGCCTGCGAGCTCTGGGATCTGGACGCAGGACAGGGACGAGCAAGCAGGAGCAAGCCCAAGCCCAACGGGAAAAGTTACATTTCAAGGCAAAAAAACCCTGGAGGATTCTACGGCCTGCGCGAGAAGGAGGCGAAGTTCATGGTTCCGGAGCAGCGCCTGGTCTTGCGCACTGGCTACCAGGCACTGGCGGATGTTGGCCTCGGCGAGTCTTTGAAGGGAAGCAGAATCAGCACTTATGTAGGTGACTGTGCGAATGAGTCTGCAACATATTGCCCAGCTCTGGATGAGTGCCGTCAGAATGGCACGCTCAGTGCAGCAACTGCATCTCGGATCTCGCACTTGTTTGGCTTGCGGGGGGGCGCTTGTTCGTTTGACACCGCTTGCTCCTCGTCATTGGTGGCATTGGGTCACGCCCATTCACAACTACGGCTCGCACCCGTATTTCAGGATGCCCAAAGCAGGCAATCCAGCGGTGCTCTGGTGATTGGCGTTCGTGTGCTCTTCGGTCCCGAAGGCTTCGTCGGTCTCGGCGCCGCGGGCTTCCTGAGTCTTCACGGACGTTGCTTCACCTTTGACAGCAGTGCTCAGGGCTTCGGTCGTGGCGAGGGTTGCTGTTCCGTGTTTCTTGCCAGGGACGACCTGGAGGACGGTGAGGACTTGGAACTGCACTTGGCCAGCCTCTCTGGAAGCAGCGTAAACCAAGACGGGAGGAGTGCCAGCTTGACTGCACCGCATGGACCCTCTCAGCAGAGCTGCATACGATCTTCCTTGCGCATGGCCAATGTCAGCCCGGACAAAGTGGCCGTGGCCGAATGCCACGGAACTGGCACATCCCTCGGAGATCCAATCGAGGTGGGTGCGCTGCGAGGGGTGATGTACGACCGCCGACAGCCTCTTCTGATGACCAGCTCCAAAAGCAATGTGGGCCACGCTGAGTCCGCTGCTGGCTTGAATGGTTTGGCCAAGTGTGTTCTCATGCTTATGACGTCTGCATCGGCACCCAACGTCCATCTGCGTTCCCTGAACCCAAATCTTGACACAAACGGATTCCCGTGCTTGTACGAGAGCGAGTGCGTGGATGCCGACCAAAACAGCCAGAACATCGGGGTGTCGTCCTTCGGCTTTGGCGGAACCAACGCACGGGCCGACTTGTGGGGGCACTGCCAGCAGGGGCCAAGGTCAGAGCTGGTAGCGTCAACCATATACTAGCTGCTAGCTTGCTTAGCTGCGCTTGCCTCCGAAAACAGTGCCTATCAGGGTCAGCTTTGCTGCGCGGTGGCTCTGAATCGTGCTCGCCTGACTTGTTTCTGGCCGGCTGCATTCGAGGCGTGCGATTCTACATTTTTAGGCGGATCCCGGACTTCAAGAACTTCAAGAATCTAGGCGAGAAGAGTCGTCTCGTGCTCTTGTATAGGTTCAGACTTTCGGCGATTCGAAAGTTGTGTTGGCACCTTGCAGCTGCTGCTGTCTGTTTTTGAAGCACCAGTGCAATCAGGAACATGTATCGCGCCCGCATGGACAACCTACAGGCGGACAGCGCAACTGCCGACCGCAGCTCGGTTCGGCAATTCCCGCTGATCAACATCTTCTTCGCATCTATAAGCATAGTGCCCTAGAAGTGAAAGTCAGCGGCCGGCAAGAGGGTTTGCATGCAGGTTTTCGTGAGTCTTTGGAATCGTGACCTGTGAGGGCCTTGCAAAGCGACCGAGGAATGGTCGAGGAGGCGAACTATGCCTTCTTCCTCAACACAAGAATATTCCAGGACTCGCGAGCCAACGTTTCGGCTTTCAACATCCGCCTTTGTGCCATGTCCCAGCTCCGGCCAGGAGTTGGATTCGCTAGCAGGCTTTGAGGCGGGATGCTGTGAGTGCGGGGGCATCTCAGTTTTCGGGGACTCCTGTGCTTCTGCAGGCAGGGGCTCTTATCCTTCCATCGGGTTCGCAGAAACTTTTGTCGCATCTCAGCAAGTGGATGCTCTGGGCAGGCGGAACCTGTCCCGCCACCGGCATCTGCACCTGCCGCCAGCCACGCTGAGGCGAATGGACAGTCCGGGAAAGAAAGCCTTTTGAAGCTTGCGCCCGTCAGCTCACGGTTCCCTGCCCTTGCGACTGTAACTTTAGGCTCTCATCAATTTGCAGACTCTATGAAGTCTCCTTGACCGTATAGTCAGTCAGTACAGTAAAGCTTATTGCCGCCGCCTCCGTGGAAGCCCTAAGGAGTCGATTTTTGACTGCAACGCCTTGAGTTCAGGCCTTTTGGGCGCTAACTTTGGAAGCTACCCTTGAGGGCGCCAGGCTCGAAGGTTTGAGATTTCAGATTCGCAGCGGAGGCTGCAGCTCGCGCGGCAGCGGCCGGCTGCCCTTTCGCCAGCTTGGCTGCGCAAGGCAACGAACCGTATATCTCGCAGGATAGTGACAGGGCCTGACAGGGTTGTCTTCGCCGAATGCTTCCTGTTTTGAGGGGTTTGCTCGTTGTTGTAGTCGTTGATGGTCTCCCATTGCTATATCTTGCTATCAGGGTTTATGAATTCTAGAAATCATGCTTGAAGCAGCAGCTGAGTATTGTAGGTCTGCTAGACCACAGGCCCAGTCTCCGAAGCATTTTGTTGGAAGGATGAGAGCAGAAGGGGACGCAGTCCCAAACTCCACTCTACTTGCAGAGGCCTGGCAATGCCAGACGACCATCCTGGCCTGGCAGACACAGAGAAAGTGGACAAGGCCCCGCGGTTTTCCAACTCCTTCATGCTGATGCCTCAAAGCCCGAGGTTTCGCCAAGAGCCGACCTAGGAAGGACACATCTGTATGTAATGACGCAATTATGTGTATATATATATATATACACACACGTACAGTTATAAATATGCACATTGACATACATGTACATATCTGTACACACACACACATGCACGCACATCTGAGCGTAAAGCTCCTTTGTCTTGGAGCCATGAGGCCTACAGTAGAAGCTGTTTTCCGGCATCAGGTGTCTGCTTGCAGATCTTGCCGCTCGTTTTTTGTCCCTCATTTTGGCGTCGCTGCAGTCGTTGATCCGTCGCGGTGATCAGGAGCTTGCGAAAGCTCCGGATCAGGAGGACAACAAAGCGGGCTGGAGGCATCTGCGCAGAAGTTTCTGTCCAACACGACACGGCATGACCAAGTGTAGTTTAGAGGAGTGAGTTTGAATATGTTTGAATCTGAGAACCACGAACTTAATACTGGATCTTTGTCCAGGCACCGATGCACCCCTCAAAACTTACATGCCCGGCTGAGACTTGTTGCTATAAGTTGAGCTTTTCCCAGCCATTGGTCGCCCAACAGATCCGAAGCCCAAAGCCAGTGAAGTGCCGCAGCACCAAAAGCAAGCCCGGCCCCGCGAATCCGGAGCGAAAGCCGCATCAGCTGCTCGCGAGAACTAGTAGCACTATGTCACCGCTCCTACGACTAATGAATCGAATTCCTGAAAACTGCAACCCCGACAATCGGAAGAGTGGTGCATGATAATTGGTGAGGTAGTGTCAGTTGTGTCCATCAGTCTCTCCGTGGGTCTCGGTCTCTGCGTCTCTCTGCATCTCCGTGTCTCTCCTCTGTGTCTCCGTCTCTCCCGTCTCCTTCTCTCTCTCTCTCTCCCTCTCATTTTCTTGTTTTCTCTTCTTCCCCACGTCCGCAAGTTGAGCGTGGGACATTCGGTCTTGACTGTTGCAGGTACGGGATTTCAACAGGGCGGCTGTTCTATGGGTGTGTGGCTCTCATGTCCTGCAAACAGGCTGGCCTCGGCTGCTGCTGTGATCGCTCTGAGCGCTGGCATTCGTGCAATGTGGACGTGAGGTCTTGTGACACATGCTCCAACCAGTTTGTACAAGACGTGTACAGGGGCTGACGAAACTTCGGGGTAGTGCTGCAAGGTTCAAATTCTAAACCGTGGATTTTGTCAGTGGTGACTCGTCCAAACCTCCGACGTCCAGGTTTTAGAGGGCCACATCCAGCGTCTGCTTGAGAGTTGTAATCGGTCCTCAAAGAAGCCGCTCCTCTTTTGCATTTCATCGATGCCATGAATTTGCTCGGCTTCGCTCGCTTCGTGCACGGAGAACCAAGCAGAGGCCTAGTAGGGTTGAACAACCTGTTACCTGTACCTCACGAAAGACCGAACATACTCCCCAAGGGCGCATAACGACCATGGTTCTGCAATCCTCCTCACGGGTGAGCCGCTTTCGCGAGTACAGAGCTGCAAAACTTGTAACTCGTGTATTTCTGCAGGGCTAGGGCTCTGACACGCCCCTGGGTGAATCCAATGCGCATAGTTTTTTCAGTGAGGTTTTGGGTGAGATGGAAGACGTTGAGATTCACCCAACAAGGGCCACAGACTCCGATTAATTTCGTGGAACCGCCTTGTCCCTGACAGCACGAACAGGAGGTGTCGTCCGCAGGAGCGTGCCCACCAAAGTCGGGAAACTGGTTAAAGCCTTTACGCAGATGCTGTCTAAGTGACAAATTTGGGGTACCCTAAATGATAGGTGCCGTATTATAATAAGGACCCAAAAAGGGGACCATAATTTTGACAACCACCCAAATGCAGAGCTGAGGCCGAAATGCTTCGGCCGTCAAAGTGTGCATGTGCGTGAAGCAAGCAGCACTCTCCAGGCCGACACTATGCGATAGTGGGACGACGGTTTGTTGCAGGCCTTTGAAGCCTTTCAGCTGACTTACTGAGTGGAAGGCCGTGCCGAAACATGCGCTGAGACGTAGCAAGGGAGCCATCAAGCAGTGCAGGGCAGCTCCAGCCTGGCTACAGTTGTGAACATGCTGCTGGTACTACTAGTAGAAGGGCTTCAGGGTTTGGGCCAAGCTCGTAACCCACGTCCCAAGTTCGGATGCCTGGAGCCCAGGAAAGGTCTGGCGCATCTCACCGTTGCGGGCCACTTCGGCAGCAAAGTGCTGCCCGGGCAGGCTTGGCTGCTTTCTTTGCAACACTGACAGAACTTCTTCCTTCGACCCGAAAGAACGAAGAAGACTTGAAGCCGAAGACCTTGCCCGAGAATCTGTTTAACTTTGCTGGTAAGCTCCTGACCGCTGCAGGGCTACATGGGTGAAATCAAAACCATCTGCATCGAAGCATCTGGGCTGGAGCATGGCGCAGACCTGGTGCAGTGTGCGCTGACAACAGCTTTTTCCCGAATGTTTGACTGAGTGGCATGGGCACTGACTGTACGGAGGTTCGCACGCAAACCAAAGCACAGGCACCGCAACAGACCGCTGCGGCCCTTGGGGTGTAGGCCTTCGGGCCAGGGTGCGTGCACCCACACCCCTGACAAGCAAGCAAGCAAGCAAGAGCCTGACTGGCGAATACCTTCCGATACTTGCATGTTTTTGCACTTCCCGCAAAGCCCCTTGAAGTCTTGCGGGGGCCTAGGTGCCCGGGCGGATGGACATGCCCCATAATGCCCTGCAGAAGAAGAGGGGAAGCAGAGCTGGAAGTGAGGGTTAAAGTCGGCAAAGATGAGCGGAAACGCTTGCCCCTCAACTGTTTGGAAGAGGTTGAAACCGAAGCGCACTTCTATCGTGGCTGATGCAAGTCTCATGACGCAGAGCGACTCGTCGTATGGCCGGAATAGGACCTGGAGGGCCAAATCCACACGGAAGTCCATTTCGAGCATGAGCGGGCCTTGCTGAGCTGTCTTTTGGGCGAGTCTCCGACTAAGTACAAGGCCAAGACAAGAGAAAGAGAAACAAGCTAGGCAAGGACATAGGATGGGCAGGGACATGCAAGAATCAAGGATCCCAACGAAAGGCCCGACAAGCTCTTGAGCTCATTGTCAATAAGTTCGCAGCTCTCGGCAGGGCTTGCGAGAATGCTAACGATATTGAAAGCAAAGACAGCAGCAGCACACAGCTTTTCAGCAGAAGTTGGGAATGATGGCCAGCTGTTTCTGCGATGGCATGTCCTCGAGTCTGAGGCCCAGGAGTCGCAATTGCAGGCCCAGCAGGCACGGTGCTGCGTCGAACATGGGCGAGCCAGGATGAGAGGTCACACTTGCTGTAGGAGCCTATGTTTGTCCCAGGTGCACAGCACGATCCAAGAAAGATGTGCCAGATTGCTTCTTTTCAGGTGCCACGTCTGATCTGGCTTAGTCAAGGGCTGCAAGGCTTTTCCTTGCGAAGGCGAGTGCGAGTACCACCAGCGGTTTTGGAATTTGGATTGGAGTAGGGCTGCTGTAGTAGTTAGCCGAGGCAGCTCGCGCAACCCGGCTGCAAAGAGAGAGCAATTTGCAGCTTCTGCCCTACAAGAATGCATACCTTTTGCACATCGTCTTGACAGAGCAGTGCTAGATCAAGGGGCCATGTAGCAGCTTATGCATGTTCTCCTGGCTGGAGCTAAGGCTAGCCAACAATGGCAGGGGTCTGCTGGAGCGCCTTGGCTTTGTATCAGGTTCCTGTCGAAAGCCAACTTGTGTTGGGGAGGCCACATTTGCCGACAAACGATGATTGAACGAGGGAATGCTCGATGCCGAAAGGGATCCAGCAGGAGCCACCGAGCTCGACCGAACCATCACTCATACTGGGAAGGCAGGCATGCTCGTGTGTGAATTGTGCAGATAGTGTGGACAGTGCACACCTCGCAATAAGGAACCGGGAAGTGGTCAGCACGTTCATTGGAATTCTGGATCAGCCGACGGCAGTTTCATTATGGCCGGACTTGCACAAGAGCCACTTGGTCCTCGTGTTGAGTACAGCTGTTGCAGAAGCACGCGCCGTGCTTATTGTTCGGGCTAGCTGCCGCACCGAAGCAGTGGACCTAGGGGAATTGCGTCGGTTTGCATAGGATGATATCAGCTTGCAACGTAGGCTTGGCAACAATCTTGCAATCAGTGAGAATGCCCGTTCTGAGGCTTGGAGAAGACCAAAAGTCCTGCAACTTGCCTGCACAGTTTCTCCTCCGAATGCCGCAGCGCGCAGGGCCTGCCGCCAGTCCCTCCGCCATGGCGTGAATGTCATGTTCCAGACATTTTCTGATGTACCTAGTGCATTCAATGCATCTTCTGATGATTCTGATGATTTCATTCTACTGCAAGTTCGTTCTGGAGTTTCTTCAGTCTCTAGTGGCCGAAGCACTTCCTGCCAATCGGAGTCTTCGGATGCTGCCATACGGAAGCCAAAAACGCACTCCCCCGTGGGCAAGGGGCAAGGGACGGATGAGATTCATATTGCATCTTGTTACCTTGTTGCTCCAAGGCTCCACTCAATCCCAAATCCCCAACGGCCACAAAAGGTGGAATTCACACAAATCCCTACTGTATCTACTCATCTGCCTATCTACCCGTCTATGTATCATTATCAATCCACCAATGTATCAATCAGTTCAATCCATCTATCTAGTTATCAATTTGGCCCTCTTTCTCTCTGTCGTTGTCCTATCCATCACGAACGCTAGCTCTGTGGACTTGCGGCAGTAGAGCTTGCGGGAGTTGTCGTTTACCAACTCACCTAAGCAGCAGTAACCCAGGCCAAAATCGCGTTTAGCTTATTTGGTGGTGTAAGAATACTACACATGCGGGCAGGGCCCCCCAATGCCACCGTTCAATGATTGATTATTGATGCAGAGACTTTCGTGTACTTTGACTTGAAACATATTGCTGTATAACGCACGCATCTGCCCAGCTGTTGCACTGTCTCTGACGAGCTACATCTCTGCGCGGCGAGCCATAGTGAACTTGGCGGTTGCGCGCGCGGCTGCGTGTTGCGACTTTTGCGGCGCCGGTCGCGGTTGTGTGGGGTGTTGTACTGCATCTCAGGCGTGCACATGCCAACCAGCTTCTGCTTCTGTTGCAAGCGAAATTCGCAACAGCTCTCAGCATCTATCCCAGACAGTTGGTTGCCTGACAATACCTTGACCCAATAGGTGGTCGAGAGCTGGCTAGCAGGTGAAAAAACTCAGTATGCCCAGGATCTTTTTCGCTTGTACGCTCGAGTGCTGTGCAGGTGCCAAAAAGATTCGCTTGACGACCTTTTCCCTGCTGCCCCGCTTCTATGTTTTACCTGTCTATCTGGCCTGTTTGTCTGTCGATCATGACGTGCCTGTCTATCATTATCTACCTACCGACTGACCGACGTGCCTACCTACCTACCTACCTACCTACCTACCTACTTACCTACCTACCGACCGACCGACCGACCGACCGACCGACCGACCGACCCACCGACCCACCGACCCACCGACCGACCGACCGACCGACCGACCGACCGACCGACCCACCGACCCAC